GCGAAATACCAGCACCAAGATGGTGTCGGTGATTTGGACTGCTCTTACTTTCCTACCGAACGTCACCCTTATTCCTCCTTTCTTTTTTCTTTTTACGTTACATGTACTCTCTAGTAGCACCTCTGATCTTCGGCACTTATATTATTCTGATCAGTTTGTGTTGCTAGTGCCGTAATACTCATACTAAAAATATATGCGCAGTTTTGATTCTGTCTGTCTTATAAATTTTTTCCCGGCACTAAATGACCATTTATTTTTGTGTCGATGTGCTTCGCTTTACTCAAACAAACACTAAGGCAGTGCAGACTATTGAACTCAGTGCACAGTGGAAGCCGTGTAGCTATGTCGTAGATAGCGGCAGTCTGTCAGCGTCTCCCACCACTTGGTCACCTCACCGTCTTCACAACCTAACTGTCGCAGGCTCTGCAGTTTGGCTCTTCCCAGCGTGTGGGTGGACACCGACCGTGACCATTCCTCAGCCTTGAACTTGCGTTTCTCTAACTCGCTCTTGGGCTCTTCGTCTTTTGCGCCGCTCGCAGACGTCGGGGTGGCCCCGCCCCCTCCCGAAGAACTTCCGGTAGTGCTGTTTTTGTCCTGGTGACGTTTGTCTTCTGATTGAGGACGTGACGGTCGTAATGAAGCGAGACTCGGGTCGTGTGCGAGCAGCGCCGCTGTTTTGTCTCGGGGGCGACAGAACTTGGCAGGGTCTGCGCTTCGAGGTCGGAGTGCTCTGGCTGCTTTGACGACTTCCTCATGCTCGCACGGCGCACGCCGGGTTTCCCCACGATGACGTAATTCAAATGCCCTACCAAGTCTGACCAATCGTAAGACAGGGCCGTCTAATTTAGGGACCCTTACTTTAGTTTTCAGGTACTGGCAGTACTCGTTCTTGTTCTCTTTGACATAGGAGAGGTAACCACTCAGGGGAGCACACTCCACGTAGTCATTTCTTGCGCTGACAGGACGCCGAGATCTGCGAGTTGTCTCCGTTTTCTGTACATCAGACACATTTCCTCCGCTAGAAGGATCCCAAGTGACTTTTCCTGCATCCGTAGAATCAAGAAACAGCGTGTTTATCATTGGTTTCACCCCGTTTGTAGCGTCGGCATCTTCAAACGACATTTGTACACCAAAGTTTAGAGCAGACTCCGACTTTGCGCGCGTCAGATCCCCCAGAACTGCCGTCTCCTTTGGTGTCCTCGGAGGCACAGGGTTAAACTCGAGGGCGATCCGCTCCAATCTCGCTTTTAGTCGCTCGGCTTTTCGTTTAGCAACGGGGTCGTCAGGTTCTAGACCCGCGTCTTTCATTGACCTGTCGTGGGAACTGAAAAAACTTTTCCGAGGAAGAGCTTGCTTTAGCTCTCTTTTTGTATACGGGGCTTCGAATTTTGATACAAACTTGTTTTTCTCGCTGCTGCTTTCACTGACTAAGCTGGATTCAGAATCACTGCGCTCCGCCAATTTACGAAACGATTTCGCAGAGTTTGAAAGGCTTTCCTTACTTGTAGAGTTTCGTCTGCATTGGGTTTCTTCTCCTTCATCAGTCCTACTGTTTCGATCGAATTTGAAAACAGGTGTGTTCTTAACCTTTATTTTTCTCCTCGAATATGCTTCACTTTCTCGTACCACCATTGGCGTCTTTTTGGAACTGATCGGCTGACCTTGGGGCTTTGCTTCCTTCTCTGAGTTGGCATGCTCTTCTTGCTTCATCTTGTTCTTTTCTGTTACAGGCTTTATTTCCTTTACAGTACTGGAATGTGGCTCTTGCTTTATCTTGTTATTCTCTGACACAGACCTGACTTGTGAAGAATTCTCTTGCGAAGATACAGATTTCCTTAATACTTGTGTTCTGAGGTCTCTCGACTGACGTTTGCTTACACATTTTCCTTTGGCAGGGGGTGAGGAAAGGGGTTTCTGAACTGCATTGATAACTAAGCCTTTTTCCACCTCCATTTGTCGTTTGGAGGTACTTGGAGTAGCACTAGGTTGTGGTAAACTGTTGCTTTCACTACTTGTGCTGGACGTAGGTATTACTATTGTACAAGCGGGCCTGGTCTCAGAATGACTCCCGCCCTCCGAGTCGAGATCAGATTGGAACAGCGGCAGAGTTGGCGCCTCGCTTGGATTTGTTTCAACTGTTGCATTGTTTTCGTGTTTCTTTGGGTTGTCGTTGTGTTTGGAGTTAATTAACTTTTGGAGCGCGTATTGATCCGAGTCGGTCATTTTCTCCGATTGACTGAGCCCGCTAGGGGAGCTTTTGTGCGTCTCAGAGCAACCGTCTGTCTCATTATCTCGCCCTTCACGAGTCGCTGAATTCGGTTTGGATGGAACTTTTAGTCCACACACGGCCAACTCGAGATACAAATCCAGCCGTCCGTCAGCCCCAGACTCGTCCAGCTGTTGACTTCCGGTCTCCTTTGTCGCCTCAAGTTGATGTCGAGGTTGAGGAGGCAATAAGATCTGACCGTTATTTGACCTTTCCACACCAAATTGTTCATTATTCTCCACAGTGTCTCGTTCATCCATTGAAAGAGACGACCTCTCATTCTGTTCAGTTATCTCCGGTGTCTCACTGTCAGCTGTGGTATATACCCCAGGTTGATCTAATGACCCATGTACGTTGTTATCATTCACAACAGGTTCTGAGGCAACTTGTCCACTGTCTACCGTTGGCGACTCATTCACAAATGAACGCTCGTCCTCTGGATTATTATACTCACTAGAACCATTACACTGACCAGTCGAGGAAGTCGCCTTGTGCATATCGAGATCATCATCATCTGGCAGATTTTTTTCGGAGATATTTAAGTCAGACACGAGCGTGTTGACCCCGTCCTCGGGTCCCGAAAACCCGCTGTAGCTGGTCTCTGACGTCCCCCACACCGCCGTGTCACTCGCCACCAGGTGAGCTGTGTCCACGTCAGATTTTCTGACACTGGCTTCCATGATGACGTCACCTCAGAAGAGTTCTGTCTTTGTACGGTTCTTGTAAATATCAATGTTTTCATCCACCATCGACATAATCCTGATAATTTAGGTGACGAGGTACTTCGATCTTGTCTTCCAGTAGGACCAACATGAGTTGAGAAGGAGGGACACAATTTGCCAGTTGACAGAGGGAGATACTCGATAAAACCTCCCCCGCTCTGGAATCAAACTCACGCCTTCTGAGTGTGTCAGAGAGGAACTTATCCATACACCAACAACAGCGTGAGGCTTGGTCTAGAAAATATCAACGATGTGACGTCATAAACAGATCGCTGTCAACGTGCCAACGGAATGTCACTGCAAGCGGGCTGGCATTGCTCGCTCTCGGGACGTCTTCGATGAACCTGTTTGGAAAACAAAGATCATAGAATATATTCACAGACCACTTATCGAATCCATTTTGTCAAACACCAAATAATGCTTTCAAGATTTGTACGAGGAGTGTTATAA